CACTTTGGAGTAATCATTCCGTTGAAGGTCATTTTTGATGATGCCTAGCTCCTTTTCGAGACCTTCTTTTTTATTACAGAGCACAAAAGCACGGTCCAGTAGAGTCTTGATGATTCCTCTCTTAGTCGATTGATGGTGGTTAGATTCCTGGTTCAGATATTGTTCTGTGTGAGTGGATTTTCGATATACAGATGTTTCCCATTTAATGTCGGTTCTCTTCAGCAATACGTCTAAGAATGGCAATTCGTTGTGGATTTCCTTCTCCATTGTGAAACCACCTTTAAACAAACGATGTTGATATTTGACTCTAGTTTTATATAATTATTGATGGGCGTGGCTTGGTTTTTCTCAATCGGGTTACTTGACCTTGTTTCTGTATCATTTAGGAAAGGTAGCCAGATTTCATCATTATCCATTGCCTCTTTTTTTCTATTGAAATCATTCTTGTGTCTTTGAGTTTCTTTCTTTCAGGTGATTGAGTTAGTACTCTCAGATTCACAGATATCCATAAAAACCTGCAACATAGCTTTCACACATTATGTAGGTAACTCCTCTAGGCGCATAATGTATTGTGAATCCGAAGTATTCTTACTTTTCATCAATTTCATTTTATATATACCCTACTTTCAAGTTTTCATCAATATTTGAGATTGTTTTTATTTGTGTATAAAAGCAATTTATGTATTTTGTATTATGGCAATTCCTTCATCATTGTTTGTGATCGACATAAAAATATAAATTTACTATTATCATTATGCTGGAATGTGAAAACACATGAATACAGTCCTCCTCCAAAGTAACATTTATCATTAGTGTTACAGACCTCTGAAATTGCCTTTCAAGCACTCCCTCTCTTGTCGGAATTTTCGAACTAAAAGTGTCATAAAAGTTTTCCGAAGTCAGATGAATCAAGATAAGATTGAGACACTCTACAATCGTCCATGATTCTCATTTCTGGAGAAACAAATTGCCTTGAGAACGGCCCGAGAATGTCGAAGTGAAAGATGTTGAATGATTAATTTAATTTTCTTGCCATGAAAAGCGAGGTTTTATGGAAACAAAGGAAAACAGTTCAGGTGATAGAATAACGCATGAAAGAATGATCTATAATATGTTCTAATGTTCTTTTTCACCGATCATTATCGGAGAGAATAGAGGTATGAAGAAATACTAGTGAGTTTCGACGTGGTACACGATGGTTCCGAATATTACTGGAATTTTTCCCCAATACCAAACCGTTATTTTGACGCATGTTTCGATCACCAAGTGATCATCTTCAAGAGGGAGATTAAACATTTTGATCTTATTTTTTTTAACACTCACTACGAGTACCTGTTCAAAATTGAAACATAGGATATCGTGGAAAAAATCGTTATGAAGACAGAGAATCTGTAACAAAAAATGTTACAACTTTTTTCACTTTTCATTTTACTTCTTTCATTAGTTATATTGTCTAGGAATCCTGTGAATGATATCTGATTCGGTGATTATATAATAGCATAAAATAAATTCAACATTGATATTTGTTGTGGAAGTTACTACTGTTGAAAAGTATACATTTAAGAAACAAATCTGATGTCAGATACACAGAACAGTTGAATTGTTGATTTCCATTATTCCAATTCATCAACAAAACAATAATACAAACCTAAATCATTCGTTGATGTTTCAATACTCCAACTGAGAAACAAGATTAATTTATTGTTTCTAATTGCTTTGCACGCAGCTGGGAAGAAATGAATGCCGATATCCTGAAGCGTTTACTTACATTGGTCTGACAAGATAAATACAACCGATTTCCTGATGCCGTGAGGCATCCTAACAAGATCATTACTCGCTCAACTTCCACTTTGATGTCAAAAAGTTATGATTTATGTCGGGATACAAAGAAAAGAAGCCACTAGTGTTCATTTAATCGTAGACGGTTGAATTCCTTACTGTAACTGTTAACTTGCATAGAAACTGAAGTTTAGCTACATTCGATGACATAAAACTATAACGATAATAATAATGAACAGAGAATACGTTGTAGAGAGATTAGTATGTGTTGCTTCAAAAGTTTTGTCCGTTTTTAGGAGTCTACTTTAAACGGCAATACCTTAGGTTAGGGTTAGGTCCAAAGTGAGTGGGTCTATTCGACCCACCACCGCAACCCACAAGGGTTTATTGTGGCTCACACCTATTCACACTCGGCCAAATGAACCCAGCTTCTTAACGAAGCCGATTAGTTTGTATGGCGAGATTCCCACCTTGATACCCGCGACAAAATTCCCATATGAGGGTTTTTGCACGACAGCTACACCTGACGATGCCTTAGATTCTACCGTGCACGGCTTTTTCGCCTCTGGTTTTGGTAAAACATCACTTGAGCGCAAACATTCGCTAACCTGCTCATGGGGGGTTTCTTCCTCCACCTGAGACAGATTCTGCGTACGCCACTCAAGAATTTGGTGCAAGGCGGTTTCATAAGGTACCCCGCTCTTGAGGAGACGACTCAGTCGTTGCCTGGCTGCACCACCAAACCTTTTTTTTTAGGTTCAGTTATTGGATCAGGAGTTGGGTAGTTGAGAAGCTCTCGCTCCTGATCCAAAGCTCGACATCCATCTCCTCAGTAGACTTGCTCCTGATCTAAATTTACAGGGAGGTTAGTTGGAGTCGTAAGCTCGACATCCATCTCAGCGTCAGAAAGAATTTTCAAGTTTACTCTGTCCATAAAAGTTCCACGAGTAGCTAGGGACAGAAGGTCAATCACGGCAGTGCCCCGCATTACTGTGACAAGGCGATGCTACGACGAGAGGGCGCCCGGTATCTCGAAGGTTCCGTAGAGGCAGCTGATAGGCTCAGTGTCATTTATTCTCTCGGTAGAGATACACACACCTTAGGATTAAGCCATCGTTGGGATACCATTCAGAACCACAAGTGATTCTGTCATTCCCGTATCCAGCGGGACTACGTGGAAACAGGCATCCGATGGCCGGTTTGCTCAACCCCCACATCCCAAGCCAATGCACTCGCCAAAACCAGCATGTGGTTCAGGCAGTGAAAGATGAACAAGAACAGTCAACCCGCCAAAATCTTTCGCCTTTCTGATGATGGAGTCCTTATAACGGTTTTCAAGCCTTTGCTTCGCAAGCCACTAGATTGTTTTTGATCCATTGTTTTGAAAATAACAAAAGTAGCGTCACTCTTAGCTCAATAACTCAGAAAATTATGAGTAGAATGTCATGAAATTTCAATAGCTTTCTTTTAAAGGTTAGTACCAACTGAAAAAGCGATGAATGCAATGAGACTAGCACCATCTCTGTTTTAGACCCGAGACTTAGTATGACACTGACTTGCAGGCTTTGCAATGAAGTAATGAATATAGCTCTCTATCATAAGAGAAAAGAAATTTATGGTGAATCAAAATTATATAATAATAATAATAATAAATCGTCTGTATTCATCTTTGAACACATATTTAAAGAGATAACAATAATAGGTATTCGACAAAGATAAAGTGGCGAAGTGTCACCCGTGGGTGTTTTTCACCCATGGAAATACAATATTGATTTACAATTTTTTTAATTATCTTAGCTATAATATCTACGATGAATATAATTCTATTACATTGTAGAATAATTTTGCTGTCTGAGATCTATCAAATTAATGAGTATCTTAAATTCATAAAGTGATTGACTGGTTATTATCCGTTCTGTAGATGCAGAGTTCGACATTTGTTAATCATATTGTGCTGATAATAGGGATTTCAATTTTTTTTTGAAGTTCATCAGGGTATATGTACTGTAATCATGCGGAAGTTGATTATAGAAATTACAGGCGTTGTACGTGAAAGATCGCTCAAAAATGGAGGTTTTATGTTTGTACATTGCCAGTAACCCCGAGTTACGAGTGTTATAATCACTCAGATTCCCGATTTTAATAAGTTTGTCATATAGATATGTTGGTGTTCTATATTTCAGTACTTTATGAGTCATATTTAATAGATGTAATTTTGTCATATCTAACAATTTCAGTTTTCTCATTTCCCGATATTTATGACTCATGTGCTCATATTTGCGTATTCCGAAGGAAAGTCTCAATACAAGAGTCCTGTATTTTTTGAAGTCGACTACTGTCGACAGTAAGAATGAGGGATTCACATACACGAATTTTCAGAGCGGAACTCATGAATTGTCTACTTGGATAAAGTTGTTTGAGTGTATTATATGAACATCGGCAAAGTTGATTGACATGTTTTGTGAACCTCAATTCATTGTCTAACCAGAGTCCGAGATTTTTTGTTTCATTTTTTATGGGAATCTTTTCTCCACCCAAAATGATGTCGATTGAGGTACTGGCTAGATTACGTTTGAGCTTCGGTCCGAAAAACAATGCATTGGACTTGCGTTCAACTTCAGATTATGTGCTGCAGATACATTTATCTAGCAGAATAAATATTACGAACAATAAAAAAGACCTTCATACATACACTAATAAAGGAATAAAATTTGCTGGAATGAATGTGTGCCATGAAAATTCGAGGAGTTAGATTCTTCGAAGAGAAGGTTGAGTGAGAAGTTTGCTGACCATGAAAATCAAATGGAATATGACAGGCTGAACTGACGCTCATGAATAATTGTAACTCTGAAATATGAGGTAAAAAGCGCCTGCTGCCGTTTCCCCCGTCAATAAATATTATCCATTATCCTCGTACCAGAACGCCGAAGCGTGTCCATTAATCCTCGCAATCCTATGCATCAACCTACAATTTTATTAATTACCCAACATCAAGATCATCATAAATAACGGCCCCCATAAATACGAATCGAAAATGCTCGATTTCCCACGAACAATAACCTGAGAGCAAATGCACAAAACGCATAAAACACCTTGTGTGTGTGTGTGTGTGTAACTTCCGACTCGGATGCAAAATCGATAGACCGATAGTGCGCATGCGCTGCTTCACCCTCGGACTCTCGGCCATCAAAATTAACTTCCAGAGACGCTGCCTGCGACGTCGACGTCGTTTTTCGTGAAAACTCTCGAATACGCGGAAGAGCATGGCCATGTGTCGGTATTTATCGCTTTCGAACGTTTGAATGCCGGTTTTCGAGTGAGTGGACGGTTTTATAAATAGTTTTCGAGACTGATGTTACCGAATCGGTGCGAAAATGTGGGAGAAATTCGAAAAGAGGTGAGTTTTCTTGCGTGTGGCAGGAGATTTTCTCCTGTTCGAGGATTGTATACAAACATTGGAGAGGGAAACATTTGTCTTTTGTAGCCCCTGGCATTTCTGGATGCCGACGGCGTTGCTTGTCAAGTATTAACTGGAATACGAAAAGTCTATTTGTTTTGTTGATAAAAAGTAATCGCGTTTTCTTTGGAATCATGGAAAGTTGCAGATGAGGAAAATACATATATCGTTTGCTTTTCTTTCCATAAATATTATATGTTCGTTTTGGTTTTTGATTTTATTATAGATATATTATACTTGGGTCTATGACATATAGTGAACCTTGCGCCATAGGTCATAGACAGTATGTATGTAAACACAAGATTTTTTTCAAGACAAAACAGAAGCACTACAGGAAAATGCTTAAGACGCTCTCAAAGCGGTGCCTGGGTGAAAGTAGCGATTCACATTGGATTTGAATCGCTGGAGACTAAATCCATTTGGAAAAACGTTCTTACGAAGTTTATTCCACATAAACGCAGTTCTCCAGATAAAAGAGTTCTCAAACAGTGACGTTTGAGATGTACTGAGTTGAACTTCATAACGATGAGCAGCCACAGTCTGTCGCGTATTTCTGATATGTACTGGCCTTGGTGGCATGTGCCAAGTCACTTGAACACTTGCCGTGGAAGTATCTGTAGAAGAGAGACAAATCTCCAACCTTTCTTCGATGTTCCAGGCTATCAACAGGCTAAAAAACAGCAGCTCCGTGGGCCAGTTCAATTTATTAAAATGACACATGTCAACAGAAAATGCTGTCTTTCAATTGGTTCATAGTATATGGAATAATTTCGATATTGGCAAAAAGTGCCTAACAGTCTTTTTAGATTTGGCGAAAGCCTTTGACACTGTCAGTCACCATATCTTACTGAGACCTTTTTTGGAATTCATTCTAGTAAGAGCAATCATCCTTAAGCTTTCTGAAAATTACTTATCTGGTAAAATCAGATTGTTAAAATCAACAATACTTATAGTGATCCACTACCTATAATCATGGACGTCCCATAGGGGACGGTACTAGGCCCAATTTTGTTCTTAATATACAATGACTTTTACAAACTTGAAAACATCCAAGGCAGCATTATATCTTATGCAGACGATACAGCTCTGTCATGTATAGACGATACGTAGGACGACGTCTTTGAAAGAGCTGAAAGGGGACTCACATCTGTTTTCTCTTGGTTAAACACAAGTCTTTTGAGCCTAAACATCGCTAAAACTAAGTACGTAATATTTACCCCCACAGAAAAAGATCAACCTTCCAAAAATAAACTCACTATACACAAACCTATTTGCCAAACCCCAATGTCCTACAGTTGATAAGGTAAGCAACATGAAATATCTTGGTGTATATGTAGACCAACATTTACGATGGGACGAACATGTAGACCAGACAGTTAAAAGACTCAGTAAATTATCTTATACATTCAACCAACTCAGAAATCTCAGTAATGAAAAACGACTAACAGTGATATATAACTCACTCGCAGAATCAGTTCTGAGATATTGCATCATAATATGAGGTGGCGTCAGCAAAACCCTGTTAAATAATCTAGAGGTAATGCAAAATACTATCCTGAAAATCATTTTCAATCTTAAAAAAAGATACTCCACTGTAGCACTATACAAAGAATCAGACTTATTTGAGGTGAGAAAATTATACACTTATCACTGCATATTATGGATGCATAATAACCCCACCCCCAATATAAATTATAATTATGAAACCCGTGCCAAACTTCATCAAAAAACGAATGTCTCATGTCTCTCGCTGTAGATTAACTTGCACTCAGAGATTTATATCATACTCTGGCCCAAAACTAATAAATCTAGTTCCTTCAGACATTAGAGCAATCTCCAATAAATACAAATTCAAGTCAAAACTGAAAGAATATGTGAATTAAAACTATGACATATTGAAATCTGTTCATGAACTGGATTCATAATCGAAGTTCTCTCTAGGCTGTGAATATAAACTAAATCCTACTGTAGGTAATATCTTGATTCAGTAGAACAATCCAAAGTCACCTTCTCTTCGAATATTACTCTCTCTTTCCACCAGTTTTCCTTTTTTTTCTTTCTTCCAAGTACTTGTATCAGTTATATTTACATTGGCAGTATGAGTGTTTGCTTCATTATGCAACAATGATACCTCATTTATATGTATGTGTTTATATGTGTGTATGTATGCATATGTATATATGTGTATATGCATGTTGTATCGTAGCTTATTGGAATATATAACATGCATGTATATGTGTATATAAATAATCAACTATCAATAATCAAATAATCAACTCAAGCTCTGCTTAGGTAGATCAGCCTTCAAAATTGTTTATTTTTCATTGATTCTTATACCATTATCAAAATATGTAATTACCTGAATAAATTTAACTTTATCAAGGTTGCACGTGATGTTCTCGTCTCCAATCAGGACGAAGGCTCTTTTCTGGATGGAATCCAGCAATTTCAGGGTATGTTTGGGGGCAGAGCTCCATACATGAGAACATTACTCTAAAGAAGGTCTGATCTAAGCTTTATAAAGCATCAAAAGTTGCTGAGGTGTGTTCAGTTTTCTAGTACTGGCATGTCCTATGCAGGTGCCCGGAGTTATTGTCAATAAGAGAGTGTGTGTTCGGCGAGTCTTGGCCTACACCTGCCGAAATGAAGGAGATGTCTCCCAATAACCTGTCCACTTTCCTGGAAAGGACAAGATAGACGATGACCTAGGAGGATAACTCCTCGGGAGGATGTACAATGGGTCACATGTAGCCTAAGTGCTTTGGGCTTACACTCACCCTCCCTACTCTCCAGATACAGATACAAATACTGTTTTCTGGTTCGGAACAGTGTTCCAAGTTTTTGAGAAGTAGCCTTTGTAATTCCAACGACGTGAATGTGCCAAGACATATTGGTGTCCATAACCTCAAACAAATCTATCGAAGCAGTAAGCGGAATTGTCTCACCTGACATTATTATATCCGGTTCGGAGACATTTATCTTTAGAAGAGAATTATGAAGAACTTACTATATGTAGTAACTTTCTTAGCAGATTCTGTTTGCAAACAATAGTACAAACGAATGTTTTTATTTTCCGCAAATTGCGTCTGAATATGGCATTTGTGGAGAAATTTTATGGTATTAAATCATTCAATTACACGCTGCCTGTTGAAAAAATGAAGTGAATTTTAATTTTTCTCAAAAAATATTTATTCATTCATCAATTTCCCCCTCAGATATAATACAATTTTTGGTAACTATGTCTTTGAGCTCTTTCATCGAGTCGGTTTTTATCTCCTCAATCGTTGCAAAACGCCGTCCTTCCATGGGTCTCTTCAATCTTCAGAACATGAAAAAATCGCAGGTGGGCAAATCTGGTGAATACGGTGGCTGATGCATGATAACGGTGTTGCTTCTGGCCAAAACATTATGAACAAGCAATGACGAGCAACACCGGACCTTTTCTTCGTATTGCTTCTCACAAGCAGCATATAACTTCAAGATTATGTCCGTATTGACCGTACGACTATGTGGTAAGAACTCCTGATGCACTACGTTACAGTAATAGAAAAAAACGGTCAGCAAAACCTTGACATTTGATCTAAGTTGGCGTGCTTTATTAAGCCTTGGCTTGCATTGGACCGATTGGACCATAGTCCATGATAGTCCATGATAGTACTTGTGATGCACTGTTTGGAACCTTTGGTATGTATAGTAATGCCTATTACTGGAGTTTAGTCCCAATACCAAACCGTTATTTTTAACAACTCGGTACGTGTTTCGACCACCAAGTGATCATCTTCAAGAGGAAGAGAAGAACTCAGTTTAATCTTCCTCTTGACGATTTGGTGTTGGGAAAAAATCCAGTTATATTCTCTGATATAGATTCAACGATTCTCCTTAACGATGTTTTTCTCTTTCTCATGCGACATGCGATTTCAAATGGATATTGGATATTCAAGAAAATACTGCTTGAGAAAGTTAATGTATAGCGAAACATGTGTCGCCGTTTTGTGAACCTTTTGTAGTGAAAATGAAAATAAATCTCATTGGTGAGTTTTGAAATGAATTCTCGTCAAGTATTGGCCTGTTCCATTCAATTTTTGTCGAAATTGCTCTTTCAAGACATTTAATATATACTCGTATAACATCTCTTGCTATTCATAACGGTATAATTATTAGCGATAAAAGTATAGATTCATCATCATAAAATTACTGGAGTTTGATCCCAACACCAAACCGTTATTTGATTTGAGGACATTGTCATCTCACGTGGAGGTGATGTGAACTGGCCATCGAAATCGTACGATTTGACCCCGTTAGACCTCTTCTTTTGAGGTTTTCTTGAATCGCAGGTGTATATGAATGAAGCACATACCACAGCCAGCATAATCCATGCCATCGGTCTGATTTGTGCGCCAGAGATAAGAAGTGCTTAGTGAAAGTTCTTTGCTGTACATGAAAAAGTATATACAATCCTATAATATCGAAAGTAACTTATCAATTTCGAACGGCCATCAGAATTCACATCTTCCACTATCTCTCCTTCTCTGTTTTCATGAACATTTCATTGTTCAACAGACTGATACATCCTTAATTTCGTTCGTGTTACAACGTCCTAGAAGCAAAATACCCATTCCCAAAATACTCATTCCGGTAAATAACTGCCATTCATTCCAGGAGAAAAACGCCAGCTTCATTAATGTACCTCCTACGTGGAATGGCTAGTTCTTTATCTTCAGTCTTTTCTGAATATCTCGCCATTAGTTCCGGTCACGGGAGGCCGTGGCCCATGTCTCTGCAAACTCGAACAAAGATCTCGCTGCAAAAACAAGTTTCTTTTATTCAGTAAGAAACAAACGCAACAATAGCACTGCCTAGGCTCCAACGAATCGGTTCGATTTTCCTTTGTGCGTTACTTTGTAGGCATACTCGATAAATTCAATGTTTCTTGTCTTTCA